GTGATGTTATGACATTTTAATTATTAAGATTTTTTATAAAATTATTTAAAAGAACTTAATATATTTTTTATATGTTAATTTATTAAGAGTAATTTTTTTTTTTTTTTTTTTTTTGGGCCTTTACTGATTTTAAAGTCTAAGTTTGAAATTTTTGACATAAAAGAAAAAGAAAAAGAAAAAGAAAAAGAAAAAAGTGATGTTATGACATTTTAATTATTAAGATTTTTTATAAAATTATTTAAAAGAACTTAATATATTTTTTATATGTTAATTTATTAAGAGTAATTTAATTTTTTTTATTAATTATTCTTAACATCTTAATTATTAAAAAATTCAAAACATCCCTATTTATCTCAATTCCTAAAAAAATAAAACTAATTTTTAACTATTGAGAAGTTTGTTAAAGAAACACATATAATATTTTATTACTCATTAATTATCAACCAACCACTTAAGTAATTAAGGGATAATTTTTTTTTCAAATCATTAAGATAAATTTAAAATAAAAATATGACAATTATTTTAGAATTAAAAAAAAATAAAATGATAGGTAATAGGGGTGAATGTAAAATTATCTCCCATCGTTTTTAGCAAGTTATTCTCTATGAAAAGAAATCTCATGAATAAACTTAAAAGATAAATAAGAGTTTAATTGAATTGATAATTATTAATTTAAAAGTTATATATAAGGTCAAGATTAAAAATTTAAACATATATAAGGTAAAGTAGTTAACTTTTTAATATAAAAAAATTTGAAAAAAATCTATTAGTAAGTATCATCTTGTAAAAAAGGTTTCAAGATTTAAATCTTAAAAATAGTGCCTGAAAATTAATTTTTTTTAATATACCAAACAAATAAGATGAGTGGGCACTTAATATCTTATAAGGATAAATTAATTTTAAAATACTTAAAAATTAATTAATAGACACTTTATTATAAACAATAATAATAATAATAATCGGATAAGTTAACCTGGTCAACACGCGGTTCAAAATTTCTATCCTACCCACCCAGCCCACTTCGCTAAAACAGAGGAAAATTCTTAGATTGTGGAGTCCACATTTTAGAGTTCAGACTCACCAGGATCTAATTCAGCCAACAATATTCCATTGCCTATTTTTCAAACAAAAAATTCAGCCAACAATGGAAACTGGAATATGAACACATAGAAAAACAAAATCCCATTGCCTATTTTCAAAAAAGAAAAACAAAATCAAACTAGCAGCACACAGTAGCACCATTCTCCCCCATCCAAAAAAAAAAAAAAACACTATTACTTTTTTATGCAAAAAAAAAAACTGTTCTTAATATTAATAAGAGGGAAATATGTGGATTAAAGCAAAATGGGTTACCTCACATCAATTTGTTTTAGTTTGGATACTTTATTTATATTTTACTCACTCTTTAAATTTTCACATAGTTTCGAATTTAAGATTTATTGACTGTTTTCATATGATCACATAATATTAGAGCAAGCTACATTATTCTCAAGTTTGAGATTTAATGACATTTTCACATGGTTATATAAAAATCACACCAAGCTATGTTTATCTCAAATTTGAGAGTGTCATTTAACATATTAGATTTGTACATGAGGAAACACTCCACATCGTAGCCTTGAATTACTTGAAACAAATATAAAAAATTTTAGTGGAATAATAGTGGGATTTTGTCTCTGAATTTGATTCCAACTTGAGTTGCAAGGAATATTGAGACTCAAATGACAATGTATGATAACTCTTATTAAGACTTGAATTGCACTCCTAACAGAAATTTAAAAACTTGAGATTTTATGCAAATAAAGACACAATTTTTCAATACTTTTCTAATTATATTTGATTTTTTCTTTATTAATTAAGGTTATTACATTTTAAAAGTTTATGATCAAGGATATAATATTTTTTTTTTTTACTAATAAAAGCTATCATCTTTCAAAGTTTCTAAGTAAAATAAAACTATACACATCCACGTAATCTTTTTTTAGTAAAATCTCAAACTGGATATCTTTGATTAAAAACTTTTGTAATATTAGTCTTAATTAATAAAGAAGGATTTGTTTGTTAATGGTGCAATAAATATATATTTTTTTAATTAATTAATTTATATAAAAAATTATAAAAGTTGACATTTATTTTAATACCATTGACACGCTAATGATTTTAATTAGCTTATTAATTAATTCAAAGTCAACATTTATCATTTTCATACAAATTAATTATAAAAAAGTAGATTATTTATATCCCAAACCCATGCATAAGAATAGAGGTTAGAAAAACGCGATAAAGACAAATATTATATCCTTAATTAGAATAGTTTTGAAAGGTTTTGTTTTGTCCTTATTTGTTCTAAACCTTCTTAAAACCATACTTGAATCTAAAATGTTAAGGACTATTTGTGAGACGAAATAAGATTAAAGATGAAAGTTTCTTGTTTTAAAAAGGCTAGGAACAACAAAAAGATTTCAACCTCCTTCCATTTTACCTGGTCTAACTCCCAATCCCTACCCCTCAAATTCCCCAAAAACCAATGGCCAAACTTACACAAACCCACAAATCCTCATTTCCCTCCAAACAAATTATAGGAAAATTAAAAAAAAAAACTTAAGGGAAACATGAAGAATAATTCCCCTATTTTCCCGTTTATCACCATTCTCATCATTATCTTATCTTCACCATCTGCAAAGAAAAATCGAGATTCCAAAAAAATTAATTACACCCCATGGAGAAAAGCTTAGATCCTGAAACTTCCGGAAGCTTCAACAGGAAGAAAGATGATGAATCCAGCACTCCGAGACCAGACGCTCATGCCGAAGAACTCTCCCCAGAACTTCGTTCGAGTTTCGCTCAGATCATGGAAGACGTTGATAGGTTCGTCGAGACACTGTCTTCTGTTACTGAGAAATCAAGCTTTCCCGAAATTCCTGATTGCGTTAAATCATTGTTGAAAATCATCGAGTCTCTGATTTCGAAATATGATGCATTGACGAGATTCGGCCAAAATCAGGAAGAAGACGCCTCATTTTTTGGATCGATGAATCGGGTTTCGAAGTTGGTTAACAATCTCGGTGAATTTCCCTCTGGCTCATCAAATTCAAGTTTTAATCGAGCGAGCTCTGTTCTTCATCGAGCCGTGTGCTTATTGGATGACGAATTTCATGTTCTCCTAGAGAATTCAAAACGGAGCAGCAATCCAGATCATAAATCTCCGATGCCATCCAAACAGTCCTCATTCAATCACAATCAGGAATTGGATCAAAGCGTCGCATCCCAACCAGAGACGGTAACAGAAGACGAATTTCCTTCTTTTACTAAGGAATCTATAGCAAACATGAATCGAATCACCAAATCTATGATCTTCGCCGGTTATGAGTTGGAATGCTGTTTGATTTACAGTGCTTTCAGGGGAAAAGCGTTCGAAAACGAGCTGGACAAGTTAGGATATGAGAATATTAGCACGGATGACGTTCAGAAGATGCAATGGGAACCACTTGAAAAAGAAATCGCCTCTTGGATCAACATCGTCAAGCGTTGCTTAACGAATCTATTCCCCGGCGAACGGAAGCTCTGTCATTCAATTTTTTCCGATTATCCATCAATTGCGGAAAGACTATTCGTCGATCTCGCAACCGCCTTGATTATGCGGTTTCTCAATTTCGCAGACGCAATTGCGCTAACCAAACGCTCCGCGGAGAAATTGTTCAAGATTTTAGATGTTTACGAGACTCTGCGCGATATGTTGGCTACCATTAACGATCTTCCGGTGGAAGATTTAGAAGCAGAGATAACAATTGCGCAACGCAGGGTTGGTGAATCTGCTGTTAGCATTTTCTGCGAGCTCGAAAATTCGATTAGGAGCGATAACGGAAAAACTCCAGTTGCCGGCGGTGCCGTCCACCCCTTGACTCGCTATACCATGAATTACCTTAAGTATGCTTGCGAGTACAAGGACACACTAGAACAGGTCTTTCAACTGCATCCGAGAAAGAACATATCATATTCAAACCAGCTGAAGGTACAGGAGGAACCGAAGACGATGGAACACAGTGAGTCGTCGGAGTTTTCAATACAAGTGAGGATGGTTATGGACCTATTGGATGCTAATCTCGCCATGAAATCGAACCTGTACAAGGACCCTTCTCTGCGCTATATATTCTTGATGAATAATGGGAGGTATATTGTGCAGAAGCTCAAAGGATCAGCAGAGATTTACGAAATATTGGGTGAAGCATGGTACCGGAAGCGTTCTTCGGAGCTCCGGCGGTATCATAAGAATTACCAAAGAGAAACATGGAGCAAAGTGTTGCAGGTTCTGAACCACGAGGGTTTGCAGGTGAATGGAAAGGTGTTGAAGCCAATATTGAAGGAGAGGTTCAAAAGCTTCAATTCCTTGTTCGATGAGATCCACAAGACGCAGAGTGCGTGGATACTGAGCGACGAGCAACTTCAATCAGAGCTTCGGGTATCGATATCCTCGGTGGTGATTCCGGCGTACAGATCCTTCCTTGGCAGATTCAAGCAGTTCCTGGCTCCCGGAAGACAAACGGAGAAGTATGTAAAGTACCAACCTGAGGATATTGAGGGATTGATTGAGGATTTGTTTGATGGAAATCGGGTGTCCATGGCAAAGAGGAAGAATTAATAACAGAGTTGAAAAGGGAAGAGATAGAAATTTTTGCTTGATCTCATGAGGGAGCTGCTGCACCTCTGCATAACTGACTCCATTGAATTTTTTTGAGCTTGTTTATTGAACAGGCATTTTGTAGTGAACTCAATTTTGCAATTTTGAATGTCATGATGTAATGCCATAGGAGATTTAACTTAAAGTTGAATTGATTTATCCATTATCTAAATGTGATTGGTTGTCAATGAGGTCTCAAGTCAATTAGTTAAAGGATGCTTATGCCCTACAATTTTATTATCTGTAGATGGTGGGCATTCTTTAGGTTCTTCCCTATTTAATTTGTGTGTACTGTGTATTATGGTTAAGGAATGGAATTTGTATACTTGAGGTTAATCACCTCAAAATTTTTGGATGTTCTTTGAAATTCGAATTAGATGGATGATGATATTTGAATTACACTTATATAGCTACAACTAACCATCAATTGTTTTCTAACTAGTAACCACTAAACCAAATAGGAGATTCAAGTTATGATATTTAAAAAAGAGTAATGATAGGTAAAACGAAATATTAGAACGAAAATATAGGACTAGTGACATGGTTTATGTTATATCATTAAATTAATTTATGTATATAATATTACGAGTTCAAAAAAACAAAAGAATTAATCATTAAATAATATAATATTTATCTTTTAATATTTTAAATAATGTGATGTAAATCAAGTCAATAGTATTTTATTTTGGTCCTAAATTTAGGTCCCGTTTATCATTATTCTTTAAAAAAATAAAAAATAAAAAATTATCACAATTGGTTTAGATTTTCGTTTTATGAAGTTTATTTCAACAATTAATCCAAGGTACATTAAACTTACAACTTAATTATTAAAATGCATGTATCTTATGAAATTCTTAAAATCCGAATTCCTCTCCTTTACCAAGGTCTCCAAAAAAAATTCAGATTTTATATGCACCTCTCAATTCTATTGGATTGACCCATTTCTTTACACCTTTCTGTTGCCGGTCCCAAAAATAATATTGGGCGGGCCAGATCCGTTATTGGTCCCTCCATGCAACAAAGTCGTTCTGTTTCTAGAGCATGGCTGGAGCAATTTAGCCCAAGGTCCTTAGGCCCAAAAAACAATAACAAATCCTAGTGCTCATTTTGCTCCTACTTTTGGGTAAAACACAAAAATTAGGACTCCAACCTGAGAGTATTTCCTAATCAATTATTCCAACTTTCATTGGATTCAGACTCTAAATTTTGGGTAAAGATACATGCACAATTTATTTGTACAAAATTTATTTGCAACTTTACTTGTCATTAGACTATTAAATGCATATAATATTATATATCTTGGTAGAATAAATAAAATTAATTATTAAATAATTTATAAGTTATGCATACATTTAAAAATTACCTTTATTAGGACTCATTTTCCTTAAATTTTTTCTAACCATGTATATATTGGACAGAATCCATTAGCAGGAGGCGAAGCAATAGGCTACTAAATCCAACGGGGATTTAAAAAAATAAAAAATCAACATCAAAGGTTAAAGTTAACGAAATAAGTAATTTAATAATAATTTTTTTTAAAGCAAAAAATTTTAAATTTAAATTATATGACATATAAATAAAATGTATTAAGAGATAAGAAAATGTTATTTTCTATTATATTACTCAAAATAAAATAATAATAATAATAATCAACCTCAAAATTGAAAATCCAAGTTAAGTAAAAGCGAGAAAAAAAAAAGAAAAAAAAAGAAAAAAAAAAAAAAGACAAAACTTCCCTCCTTCGCGGAGTTGTAGGGTTGACATTCTTTTTTATGCTCTTTTTTACATTTTCTATTTGATTGGGTTAGCCGGTGTATCATTTTTGTGTTGGTGAAAAATATAAATTCAAGTAACATGTTTAAAGAGAGTTACATATATGGAAGACATTAATTACTCAAAAAAATTATTTAATTGAACTTGTCTCTTAATATAAGTGCGGTTCCGCACACAAGCTTCAACTGCAATGATTAAGAACAGGGCCCAACATCATACCTGCTGATCTAATTAGAGCACCAGTAACGCTGATCTCTTAAGGGGTCTTTTAACTTAATGTTAATCTCCTACTAGGGTCTCTTCTCCTCCATTTAAATACTTGATATTTTCGTGTCGTTCTCACTTTTTTTCTTTATCAACCGAATAAAATTACATTATTAAAGAGTACAATAAACATTTAACTCATTACAAAATTAAAAATTTATAATCATTATAACAAAAATAAAACAATAACACACATCTACTATTTAAGGGTTGTTTGGTG